AGCGTGGTGGTGGGAGTGGCTGGCACTGTGTGGGATTCAGTGGCTGGTGCTGCTTCTGTGTGCATGCCGGGACATCTCTAATCCTGCAATTCTCCTCTTTGTACAGTGATTATTCTGTGTATCCTGGAGGTGGTTGTTATTCTGCTCCTCATATTTCTCAGGAAAAGGATTATGATTGCCATTGCACTCATCAAAGAATCCAGCAGGTAAGCAGAGGTGGTTCTTGGGGCCCATCTTACCCTCCCCAGGCCAGAAACGTTGCTTTTCCTGCCCTGTGTGGTCATTTCTCATGGCAGTAGGAAAACTAGGCACCTGGCTGCCCTCCTGTCCGGAGTGGCTTGTGTTGGGTAAAGAACTTCACATTCAGTCCTACAAAACTGTCATACTCAAACCGTATTCCCCACAAGGCCACCGAGGCCCGGCGGCAGGGAGCAGAGGGGCGGCAGCGGTTTGAAGTCTCCCGACGCCCGGAACATGCAGTTCCGGGCGCCAGGCAGTAATTTGTTTTCTACATTTAGAATCTCTCCTCGCTGGCCGCCGCCGTCTTCAGGATGGAGAGCAGGGAGCAGAGCGGCAGGGTTAAATGTAACCATGCCGCTCCATGTAAACAGTGAGAGGGGAGGGCAGTCTTCCCTCTCTCACCTGTCACAGGCGTTCCAGCACAGTGCTGTGCTAGAACTCCTGTATTGGAGGTGACAGGGTCAATAAAGAGAACCTGTCACCTTTTAAATGCTATCACACAGCGGTTTGTTAGTTCCTATGTGATAGCAAAAAAGTTAAGTTAAAAAAGTAAAAAATAATAAGAAAAAAATAAGAAAATAATTCTAAATAAAAATAAAGTAAAAGATGAGAAGAGAAATATAAATTTGAAACAATAAAAAAATTCAAAGTAACCCTGCCACCCCCGCTATCCGGTTTGCATTCTCCATGGGGGGGGGATTGGGGGGTTGGCACGGGAAGGGGGTTGCATTGCAGAACCTGGCCTTGGGGCAGGAGGGTGAGTAAATCCGAAATATGATTTGAAAATGATGAATATTTTGCTTCTTCTATTTTCTGGGAATTTGCTTACCAGATAGATGTTGATTGCAGCAACCAATCGGCATCAACTGTCATTATGTTTAACGTTCACTGCAGAGGGATGTGAAAAAAAAGTGTCAGTGCTTTATAAATAGGTAGTAATATTAATATAACATTAATATTAGGGCTGCAGCTAACGATTATTTTCATAATCGATTAGTTGCCCGCTTTTTTTTGATCCAACCAACTAATTGGTAATGAGAATAGTTGACAACTATTCTCATCTATTATTATAGATTTAATTGATTAGTTGTTGCAACCCTAATTAATATTAATCTCGACTTTGCTGTCGGCATTAGAAGGTGTGTTGTTCCAGCAATTTTAGCCTAATTATGTCCCTTCTCTCTCCTCAGGGCGGTCGGTCATGTGATGTGCTCCCTGGTTTTCCCGCTGTTCACCTTCCTGCTGGTGTGTCTCGTTATCGCTTATTGGGCCATCACTGCAGTGTATCCTTCCTCGTCCCGCACCATCATTTCAGCTCTCTGTTCACCATAACAGGTCACGCCGGTGTAATCCCCCCCTGACTAGATGATTATTTGGTATACACATTTCATTTAAAGCAGGTCTTATTTTTGACCCAAAAATAAAGGTAGGTGCCTATGACAAGTCTGCATATCTCAATGGCCAACTCTACCTTGTTCCAGCTTTTGAATGAGCGGCATTGGGTTGAGTCATCGGCTCCCTTCTTACCCTTTGGAGACTCCCAATAGCAAGATTCCCCATTGTTAGTTGATATCACTTCTCCGTTCACAAATCTATAATATTGCTGTTCTCTGTAGAGTAACTTTTATGGTGACTTGCTTGCTGGTCCTATATACTCATAATTTCATATGCATATTAACCTGTTAGTGACCATTTGGAATTGGAGTGAGCACCCCTGCAGAACGCCTTCAGAGATTATAGGATAAGTCATAAAGAATGTCTCTTCTAGGTTTGTGGAGTCTCATAGACTTGAGTGAAGCACAATAATGAGGAAGCAGAGCCTGACCCCTCTGCACTTCTATAATTACAAACTGCACACAGCAATAAAGATTTTATGAAATGAAACATTTCAAGGTTAATATCATTAAGGAAATAACATTCAAATGTATGCATAAGGACTAGTGTACACAGGCATCTAAGGTATGTTTCTGAAATGCTTTTCCATGCAGGCTTTAATGGAGTAGAAAAAGCAAAGCACACATTGATCATAAAACCCAATGTCTACTAGAACGTGATCTGTACAAAGACTCTAAAGTAAACCTGTCACTTTCTAAAAGCTTCTAACATAAACAGCTAGAGGTGTCGGCACATACATGAAAGCGTCTTCTCATGCACGATGCCGTCTAATATACAGATACCATCTTTTACTACTACTGTTGAGTAGTGGTCCTACCTCTGCCCTGCATTCACCTCGCGCACTTCCTATTGGCCAATCTCTATGATCGTTGACCTGACTGACTAATAGGGTGATGCAGGAGCGAAAGAGGAATATGTATAGGGGATTGTCACGGACTTTAGGACCTCCATTATACTGATGGTATATGTAAGCACCTCTGGGTGCTCACATTTTGGTTATATAACCTATTCAAATGTTTTTTTAGGAAGTGATGGGTTAAGCTCAGGACATCGCTTCATATTAGCCTGCATTGACCTAAATTTTGTCTTGAGTCAGCAAAAATGACATGTTAGAAGAAAAACACTGGGTTGTGAAACACTGGAAAGATCTGGAATTCTTGAGGTTTTTATCCTTAACTCCACAGCTCAGCTTCCTCTCCACATCTAACGAGGCGGTATACAAGATTTTTAATGAAACTCAGTGTGATTATGCTGGCAAAACCTGTGACCCAGAGGTAAGTCCACCCCCCTGTCCGTATTCTATAAATAAGAACTGAGTCTGCCTGTGGTTCCTCCAATGCAAAGATCTAATGCTGGTCACTGCCACCTCCAAATGACGTTGGCTGGGGGCAGGGTTCTAGCAATACTCAAGGGAAGTTTGGCTACTTCTCCATCCTCCAATCTCTGCCAGATAGATCTGTTGGACTGGTGATATTAGGGAAACTGTTAAAAATTGTATTATACATTGAACAGTGACTAGTTGCCAGTGTGAAATGTCTTACTGATTTGCCATTCATGGTATTATGTCATGGTATGATCTTATGTCATGATTACTCAACAGCGAGGTCTCCCTGCCATAATTTCCATCACAGGAGTAGTTTATAATACCGGCCAACATAATTCTGTCAGAAAGGAGGCAGGGAGATGAAGGTTGACACAGCTATGTTGCCTATACACATTAGAGAATATTTCCCCAGTCTAAGACTAGATTACATTCCATCCAAATGTCTATAGGTAGCTCCTGACGATAGTCAACCTCCTTCTCTGTCAGGTGGAGTGTCATTCAGAATGGACATTTCCTAACTGATTACTATTGTTTTCCACAAGAAGCCAGCACTGGGGAGGTCACTGGAATATCACCCTTGCCCTCTCTGTAAGAACATGCATGTATGTTTGTGCAGTGCTTGCTTGCCATAGATGATCCAGGATCATTCATTTTGTAGGCCGGTTTATTCAGAAAAGTCTCTGGGGGATATTTGTTAATTCTATTACATAACAAGACAATACTAAACCCTAAAATAGACAGATTTACTATCGAGGTTCAGCTTTATTTTTAGCTATGCAATAGACCGGTGTCAGTGTCTGATATTTTTGCTAATTTTCTTGTTAAATGTCCCTCTGCGTTTTGGTTGTAGTAGAAGGCTTATTGAAAACCATTTGGATTAAACTCAATTGAAACTTGATTATCTGGCTAAAAGCCTCAGATGATGGAGACGTGGGAGCTACATCCTGCTGCTTTTGCACTTCCTTTTGATGATCATGTTTTAGTTGTTTGTCTTGAGTGATATCCTTGGTAAGTCAGCAGATCATAAAGTATTTCCCTTTTTAGAAAAAATATTGTAAAGCGAAAAGTTCTGACTTTTTTAGACCTTTGGCCACAAGGAAAGGACTAGGACAGTGACGCAAATAGGTGGAAATTCTAGAAAGGAAAATGAAAAGGATTTATTTACGTTCCAATAACAACCTATGACAATGGGCTTTCTTGGAAGCAGGGGTGGGGGTAGGCGCTGTCCATAATCCTTTTTCACTTATGGGTATAATAACTGAAAACAGTTGGGCTCTCAACCTAATTTAAAGGGGTTCTAAACCCTCCGGTTTTTTTTTTCTATTTCTACTGCTAGCATGCAGTAGATATAGGCAAGAAGTGTAAAAAAAAAACAAAAAAAAACAGCTTAAAATCATTTTAAACTTACCTCGTTATCGCTGCTCGCTCCCACGCTGAAAATCAGGAACTGCTCGTACGGCTGCAAAGGATCTTGGGGCGGGCGCATGCGCAGTTCCGAGACTCGGCCGGGAGACGAGCAGAGATGCATTCCAGAAGTTTTCCATACATTATAAGAAAAGAATATACATTAGAATGTACCACCTAATTCTTTGCACCTAATATAAAAACCCCATTATTAGTAATACACACAAATATATTTCAATGGGTACACTCAAACAATATATAATGAATATAGTTGGATATATATATAAGTACTTGTATAAAATTCGAACTTAAAATCAGTCAATTAAGTAGGCAGATAGATGCTACATATAATATAATATTTTATCATAACATTGTTACTAATAATTATTACCACAATGAATAGTAAGGTTTCATAAGGAACTTTTGAATAAGCCCCTTTGTCTATTCATTAAGTAAAGAGAAAAAAAAAAAACTCTTTAGAAATTCCACTTTTCTTGTAGATTGTATTCTCGTGGAGGCCAGAAAGTCATCAATCAAGACCGACACAGGCTGGTACTATCCTAAACTGATATGCGTCTGAGACCCCCACAATTTACGATCGGAGGAAGGTTTATCTTAACATTCCTAATCTTCTCTTTGAAGGTCTCTGTACAAGAGAAGAATTAACTTATTTTCACCTCATAGCACATAGACAAAATGGCTACTAGTATGCCCATAGACACATCTGTAGAATTACATGTTTAGGCCTGTCAAATTGATTATTTTTGGCCCAATAGTTCTGACAGGGAAAACATTTTTTGCCTTTAATATCACTTTAAGGAGGGTACAGAATGGAACTACATTTTTGTCCTTCCCACGTGTTTGTAGTCAATGTCAAAGTTATACTGGGCTCAGGACCATTCCAGGTGACCACAAGGTTTATTGTGAGAGTTTGGAACTACCAATCTCTGTACCGGAGATAGGGAAAGATCATTAGGCGTCTCATGGGTTCTCCCAAATGAGAAACATCTGTATAGAAAGCGCCTAAAGATTGCTACAGCAAGTGGCTTTTTTCTGAGATATTTGAGTTGTCCGGACAATGTCGTGATGGCCCAATGCTGTACGCTCCCTCAAAGAGGTTATTCTCTTTAGAAGAGGGCAGCTGTCCCTCCTTGTTTGCAACCTACCTTTATTGAATTTGGAATGTGTTTTCGGTTTCCCTGAGTTAGGGCAAGAGGTGACCCAGCTGAGGTCATAAACTTCCTACCAGATTGCCAAAAATGTGGTTGTTCAATAATCTGTTTGAAACCAAAGTAAATACGAAAATACACATCATCTCCTCTCTAAATCCTAGTAAGGGGCCTATGCTGATGGATAAATGTGAAAGATGTCACCAGCACACGGAAGATCACCAAATACTCATTTTATTGAACAAGTTGTCAGAATAGATGCAAGTGCTTTCAGGACCTCGCAGGGTCCCTTCATCAGGCTTCAGCATTGACGATGCTGATGGATGGCTCATCCTTACTGTTCGGTAATTAATTTCCCTTTCTAGATCTTAAAGTGACATTAAACCCTCATATTTTTTAACATACACCAATACTGTAATGTGTGCCTTACTGCAATCCATGGTTGTTTCCCTTCTCTTTGCAGCTCTTCCTTTTAAATCTGTATCTCTTCTCATGCTTGGGGAGAACTTCCTTTTGCAGCTGAGTGCCTCTTCCTGTAGTGCTGGCTCAGGTTGTGAACCTACACACAGACACCATGTATCCATTTCAGAGACAAGGCAGTCTGCTGCAAAACAGAAGTTCTGCCCAGCATGAGAAGAGATACAGATTTAAAAGGAAGAGCTGCAAAGAGAAGGGAAACAACCATGGATTGCAGTAAGGCACACATTGCAGTATTTTATGTTAAAAAAATCTGAGGGTTTAATGTCACTTTAATTCCAAGGTTTTGAGTAAAAACAAGGCTTAGCTTTATTTCTCCATTGTGACCAAAAAGGGCATGGGGCAAAAGGCTGTCTTCATTCAAGAGGACCGTTCTTTACAGCTCCCCATATTACTATCTATGTTGGGGTCCTCAATAGAAGACCTTCATAGGTTCTTGAATAGAACAGTTTGAAGAACAGTTTCTTGGGGTCACCAGAAAAGGAACCAGTACTCTTTTTCTTTTTAATGTTGTAAACAGGTGACCTCCATGTCTGCCAGGACTGAAAATCCTAATGAAGCTCCAAAGTAATGTCCTTACGAGCAGACTCTACAAAGGTCTATTTGAGCACGGCCAACATGCACACTACAGTCTTAAGTTTTGAATAGGACTAAAAGGAGCACTGATGAGTCTAGAGATTCTTTAAAAAAGAAGCAGCCATTTTTGATGACCAACTTAACGTTCATGATCCCACGATTTGCCCCTCATGGATTCATTTCATCCATTTTAGATATGGTGCCCTGTTTGGGTTTGTAACATTCTTGTGTTCTCAAGGAGGACATTCAACTGCTGTCTTGGTATGCTTTCCTTTCTAGTACCCTGGGCCCCTTTTTCCATGGCCCTGTCATGGAGGTTATAAGGAAACGATGCAATACATTTTTTTCACTAATGCTTCACTTTGCTATATTTACCGCATTGACAACATAAAGACCGATATATTTGCATAGCTTTCTCTCGTATGACCAGAATTTACAATGGTACTTGTGTATTTTATTGCGCAATTAGGCAAACCTATATTCACAAGGGGACTCTTTGTTAATGTCTCCCACGCCTCGCACTTTACTACCAAGACCGGACGTTTCATGGTGAAACCCGTGTGCGCTAGCACAAAATAGTACTACTGTGAATCCACAATGGTATATTGGTGCATTTAATAAAAAAAGGAACGGATATATAATATTATTTTGTTTTTTTCCTAGACCTTCAACACCACCAATGTTACCCGCTTGTGCCCAGATGCTACCTGCCAGTTTGCCTTTTATGGAGGAGAAACCTATTACCACAAGTACCTGATCATTTTGCAGATCTACAACGTCTTTATGTTCCTCTGGTTGGCCAACTTTGTCATCGCACTAGGTCAAGTGACTCTAGCTGGGGCATTCGCATCCTACTACTGGGCCTTCAAAAAACCAGACGACATGCCAGCATTTCCTATTTTCTCTTCCTTGGGCAGAGCTCTCAGGTGAGGTACTGGTGAGGTACACTTTTATGGAAGTGTACTTTGTGCACCACAGCTAAATGTGTAAGGGGGCTGCCTGCTTCTAGCTGTTGTGATCTCCAATTATTACATGAGTGCAGTACAGCATAAAATCATAATTTATCACTCCTGGTATTGAAGACCTTAAACGAGAACTATGGGATAAGTGTTTTTCCCCATAGTTCTCAAGGGTCACGGGAGGACATATACTAGCATCCTCCTGTGACCCAAAGATCACTATATCGCGAGCTACAGCTTGCGGTATACTGAGACCGCCGCAGCTGGGACGGATCCCGACATTACTGCGCAGATCCACCCAGCTGCATGATTGACAGCGGGCTCTGCCTATGTAGAGGCAGAGCCAGCTGTACCCGCCCCCTCCCCCGTCCGTTTCCCCAGTCAGCGCTGGAGGATCGGAGGGGGGGAATCCCTGCGGTGACTGACGGTCACGGCTCTCTGCAGGGAGTTGATTGAGAAGTGAGCGAGCGACGGTATGTGTTCGCTCACTTCCCGATTTATTGAGCCGACCTGTGACCGTTTCATTGTCACATGTCGGCTCGAACTATGAGGCTAGAATGATTTTCACTCGCCTCATAGTTCTCAAGCAGGTATTTGGGGCACATGCCTGCCTTGTACTCCTCCATTGCAGTTGGACCTGTGATGACTGCTTTCAATGCTCAGGAATAAAATACAACTGTCTATGCAGCCGTGTATGTAAAGTCCCCACACATGTACAGAAAATTAGATTTTGACATTTATGTAACTTTCGCATGTTGTGTATTCCTCTTTGTGATCTGCCATTGGAGACAAAGTATGACCATTGGTGGTTTTCCTCTGTGGAACTGGTGGACTGATGTGGGTTGGAATATGTATTGTTTCCTGCAATGACACCTTATAGCGCAACTTTACCTTTACAAAATGCTAGTGGGAAGGCTTTTTAGATTTCCCTAAAAGCTTCTTCTCTCCCACAAACCTCTGCGAATGCGCAGCTCAGTGTACATTCTCAGCAAGGCTTGGGGCCTGAATGAAGCAACTGAGCATGTACAGAAGTTGCGTTATCCCAGACAGGGCAATCAAGATGGCCTAAGATTCCAAACCTTGTAGAAGATCGGGCGAAGATGTCTGCGCAGGCGAGGGAGCTCACAGACATTGCACCGCTGGAAAGGAGGTACGTATAGTGGAGTTTAGATCTGCATTTCATTTTTATGTATTGTGTCCTGAAACATCTACGTGTGTATGTATAGATCCTAAAAACAATGTATAATGATTTAAATAAAGCTATAACAAGTTTTTTGTTTTCTTCAGGTATCACACCGGGTCACTGGCATTTGGTTCTCTCATATTGGCGATTGTGCAGCTCATCAGGATCATGTTGGAGTATCTTGATCACAAGCTGAAAGGTGAGGCTGCACACATAAGGCTCCATTTACACCAGGGCGCGGTTTTTGAAAGGGCATTTTTAATTGCATTTCAGCGCTGAAACACAATTAAAAATGCGCTGATGAGCGCGTTTCCATTGAAATCTATATGGAAAACGCACTGATCAGCGCGAAAAAAAGTAGCTCAGGGAGCATTTTGGCCGGCAAGCGGTTCGGATTGTGCTGAGTCGCGCATTTGCATGAACGGTCCCCATAGAAATGTATGGGATTGTCGGAGGTTCAGCGCATACAAATCAACACCCTGGTGTGAACGGGGCCTTAGGATCACAACAAAACATATGCCGTGTCTCACATTTGCATTAGATGAGAGCGGACACTTGCATCTCTAACCCCCCCCCAGTAACTGTCAGAAGTAACCCACAGCATTTCCTTGTTGGGAGGAGCTCAGGTTTGGAGCGGGTTCAGTCCAAACCTCAGCTCATCCCTACTGTTAATGCATCAGCACATTTACAGGCTCTGCAGCTCCACAGAGTGGTTCTGCTTTACTTCTCCTCCTGTCATGTACCTTAGGGGAGTCTGAGATGTCGAGGGCGGCCTCTCTCACTTCTCTGGTCCTGGGGCACCTGGATGGGTACAGGAGCACCAGGGCACAGAGGGGCAGGAGTGCCAGTAGTAGCTGAATCCGGTGAGCTGGAGTTGCAGAGATGGTTGCAGGTCCAGCAGGCAACTATAGCAGAATAGTCAGGACAGGCCGAGGTCATCAAAGTGCAGGCAACACAGTACAGAGGATGAGGCAGGAGAATTGTCTGGAACAAGTCAAGGGTCAATCACTGGAGAGAAGCAGAAGGGCCAAGCCAAGCCGGGTCAAAATAACAGATAACACTTCAGGAACAGGATGCAGGAACACAGGGAATCTTGACAGCAAAGGAGGTTTGTCATTCACAGCCTTATATAGCCAGGGGGTGCCAAAAACTCAAACAACACGTTGGCGCGAGCACGTGCACACGAACGCGTGCACGTTTACGCAGAGACTCTGCACCTGATCCAACTCTATAAGCTGCACCAGGTGCATGCGCAAACCGCGGTGAAAGAATCCTGGCTCCGGCTTCCTGACACCTCCTCACAATACAGATCTTAGCTGACTAATTGAAAACAATGCCCTCCCTGTGTGGCTCATGTATTATCTTTACTGTTGTAATCAGGGAGATGAAGAGATGCAATTCCCAAAATGATATGGAAAGGTCAAATGTAAAAAACCGTGCTTTAGGTTTTCAGTGACATTTAACCATTTCATGTTTTCATCATTACAGGGGCTGAAAATAAGTGTGCGCGCTTCCTCCTGTGTTGTCTCAAGTGCTGTTTCTGGTGTCTGGAGAAGTTCATAAAGTTCCTGAACAGGAATGCCTACATCATGGTGAGTGTGGGGGAGAGAGGGGGGGCTTAGTAACTCCATGAAGCCAATATATCTGCCAAAATAATAAACCGCATTTTCAGGAGTATTGTTCATACTACCACTCCGGATCCCCGGGCCTTTTATGGTTCAGAGTGAGAATTTCACCCAGTTGCCTGTTATAAAGATAAAGGAAGCTGTACTGGGAGAGGCTGCATTTGTTGACCACCTCCTGAAAATACTGGCTCCCTGGCTGTCTCTGGCACTTAGTATATTGTAGGGTTGACTACCTGTTCCCACCACCGCGTACTGTGCCTCCCCTTGCCGCTTCATACATCCTGTAGTAATGTATGGGCTGTCGGGATAAACTACATTGTATGGCGGGGGAGCAGCAATAACACAATCCTGGAAATGTGGAATACCTGGAGCGGCCAGGGGCTGTAAAGTGGCAAAGTTTCAACAAGCGTGCTGTAGTTAAGGAAAGTCTGTTCTTATTAGGGATGCACCGATACCGGTATTCCGGTATCGAGTACCAATATTTTGTTTCTGGTACTCACCGATACCGAATACGAAGTACCGGAAGTCCCGTTCAGGAAGCCAGGTGGCAAGTGACGAGGGAGCATGGAGCCGGCTTCCCGGCCAATCAGGAAGCCGGGCAGCGTGTGATGACGTGCTTCCTGATAACGGAAGGATCGGGCTAGGCATCGGAGTATTTGTGTGAGTAAGAGTACTCGGCATCGGCACCGATACTGGTATCGGTATCGGTGCATCCCTAATTCTTATAGTAGCTTTGTTAATTAATGTAGAACTGACCTTGTTCTGACAGGGTCCCTTCAATCTGTCCTACAACAGAGATCTTCTGTCACCCGGATTCAGGAATTCATGGGCCCCTAATTACATTGCGTTCAATACTTATCAGTTTGCAAAACCCATGGAAAATGTAATGAAGTGTTTTTGTAAATACATATACTATCTATCAGCCTCCATTGTGTGAACAGTAGAACATATTTAAATAACATGTATTGGCCTCCATTCAACAGGGGCTGTTCACCGGCCTGTCCAATGAGGGTTTATCAGTGGCTGGCTAGTAATGCTGTTTTATGCAGAAAATATGCAGTCAATGGGGCACGGGCGTCCCCATTATGAGGCAGCCTCAGACAGCATCTCATTGTGGGGGTGGCCACACGGCCAACTAACGGCATTCACCCCCACCCCTCTTACCGCTCGGCCTTTGCCGACTTCCTCCTTCTGGTCGCCTCAGGTGGTGAATAAGGTGGGGACAGCCCTGCAATGGGGCTTGCCTCAAGGGGCGCAGAACTCGGTCCCAAAGTTTAGCTCCTATTAACATGAAACTAGAATCAGAGGGGCATTTGCAATGGGCTTCTCTGTCAACATATGTAATAGCAGGCACCTTGCAACCAGCATTTACTCTAAAATGGCTGATGCTTTAAAGAGAACCTGTTATGGCAGTAATATTGAGGAATGCTAGTTGCTGGCTGTCATACTGATCCACTGACCTCTGTACACAGAAAACATATGCAGAATAGAGTTCTGACTTCCCTTGCTGCATGCTGACTCCAGGTCAGTATGGAAGCCAGAGACAGCCAAGCAGCTAGTATTTTCCGGAGGTCAGCAATGGCAGCCAACTCATATCGGTCATAACAGGTTTCATTAAATAAAGAGAACATGCCAGGGCACCCTGACCGCATCTTTCTGGAAATCTCAGATAGATGTCACCAGCACACCTACAATGCTGTAGTCCAAAAAGGTCATTTTATTGGAACATCATGTCACCAACACTAGCGCTTTCGGGGCCACACAGGATCCCCCTTCATCGGGCTCAGTTATTGCTAGTCATTGCTGAGCCCGATGAAGGGGGATCCTGCGTGGCCCCGAAAGCGCTAGTGTTGGTGATATGACGTTCCAATAAATGACCTTTTGGACTACAGCATTGTTGGTGTGCTGGTGACATCTATCCATTTTGCACTGAGTGGCGGCGCCATCCGCGGTCACTGCGAGCACCCCCCATCATCCAATTTTGGGGCTTTCTCCGGTAAGGAGTGAGATAAGGTATCTTTTTCGTTTGTTACCTCCTATAGATCGCCATATACGGAACCAACTTCTGCGCGTCCGCACGGAACGCCTTCTTCCTGCTAATGAGAAACATAATCCGGTGAGTCTGCGATTGCTTTATCGGATATTAAAGATCATTGACCAGGAGACAATAAACCAAAGATGTGTTTAATATCCACAAAGCCGGTGTTTGCTTTGTCCCTTTTCAATATGGCCGTATAAAATGGCTTTCACTCATGGCTGACTATTGTAGTATTCCTTAGACATGTAACCCCGCAAAGAATGTTTCGTTTCGGATTGATTTACATTTTTATTGCTTTCCTTTTTCAGATTTCGGACGGATCCGAATTACGTTAAATGAACATTCGGATTCGTTCGCATTCGGATGCTTTCAAGTTTTGGGTGCATCCAAATGTCCGAATTTAATGAAATTAATACAAATATCAATTCAAAATGTACATGTGGTCTAGTATTCTTGTCTGTGGGTCTCCTGTAATAAAAACCTGAATATAGTGCATATCTGTGCTACCCATAGCAACCAATCCACATTTAGAACTCCCTAAAGCTGACGTTTCTCTCCCCCCACCAACCCTTATTAACATATAGTCATTTGCAAAAGCAAGCCTTTTCTGTCTGGGAAGGTTCTCATTCATCCAGGTCATGGTATATCTGTAAAAAAGAAGTCAAGGCAACTAGACTTGCTGTATTTTTCTTGAAGATGTTTCACTGGTCATCCGACCAGCTTTCTCATTCATTCTGAATTGAGAAAGCTGGTTGGATGACCAGTGAAGCGTCTTCAAGAAAAATACAGCAAGTCCACTTGCCTTGATGTATTTTTTACAGATACAAGCCTTTCCTGTTTTCATTACATACCCTTTTTTTAGACCCAGTGACATCATCACTGGGACTCTGCTTCCTTATGCGATGCATGCAGATCATGGCTAGCAGGAGAGGCCGGCAGGGTGTTAGACCCCGCTCACACTGAGCGGTTTGTCACGCGATATCGCTCTATGTAGCTCGTCCAATGCATTTCAATGGAGCTGTTCACATCTCGCAGCTCAATGTCGCCTGTAGCTTGTCGCTCGTACATGACCCTTTTTTGGGCGAATGTCGCACGATTCGGCTCCAATAGACTCAATGGTGTCGCGCATTACCGGCAATACTGCACGACCTTGTAGTGTGACATCGCGCTACAGAAGGATCACTTTTGCACTGCAAAATGGAAGGAAAGAATGATGTCACATCAAGACCGCTGTTGATTGGTTACAGCCCAATTTAGCAGCGACGAAGTCCCTCACAAAAGTCGCGCTACGTAGCGCGACAATATGTGCACTGTCGGTCAATATTGCGCATTGTTGCTCAATGCAGCTCAGCACCAAATCGCACAGAAAAACGCACCATTCACCATGTTGCTCAGTGTGAGTGGGGTCTTATACATAGCATCCTGAAGTCACAAGTAATGAAGTGAGGAATGATTTGGCTGCTATGGAAAACCGGTTATACCCAGTATAATTAGGTTATGCTGTCTGGTTGGGCCCCATGCCTTATTCCATAGAAGCCAAGGTTTGCACACATTGCACTGATGATGAACATAAAGGGCTATATCTGAGCTATACGTGATCGGTTCTGGATGTGCATTTGGCTGTTGATTTGCATGGCGCTGTTCACTGTCCTGAAATGAGGAATAATCCTGTTGGGTTTTTTTTCTTTTGGTATATGTGATGGAATGAGACATTGAAACACTGTTTGAAGAATACTTTACTGTTTGTGTATATATAGATGGATGGATATACACCGCCTGGCCAAAAAAAAGTTATCACCAGGATTTAGCTAAGCGAGGTCAGAGCCTTCCAATGAATGTGTTTATGATCTGGGTTGCTTCAGGTGGTAAAGTCTAGGATCAGCAACCTTATGTCCCCAAAACTGAGGTCAGGTCTAGGTTCAGCAACCTTATGTCCCCAAAACTGAGGTCAGGTCTAGGTTCAGCAACCTTATGTCCCCAAAACTGAGGTCAGGTCTAGGTTCAGCAACCTTATGTCCCCAAAACTGAGGTCAGGTCTAGGTTCAGCAACCTTATGTCCCCAAAACTGAGGTCAGGTCTAGCTTCAGCAATGTTATGTCCCCAAAACTGAGGTCAGGTCTAGGTTCAGCAACCTTATGTCCCCAAAACTGAGGTCAGGTCTAGGTTCCGCAATGTTATGTCCCCAAAACTGAGGTCAGCTGCCGACCTGAATATACTGAATGATCAGATTTTCCATCAATGGATTGTTTTCTCTCCTGATGGCACATTGGACATATTCCAAGATGACAATGCCAGGACTCATCGGGCTCAGATTGTGAGAGAGTGGTTCAGGGAGCATGAGACATCATTGTCACACATGGATTGGCCACCACAGAGTCCACACCTTAACCCCATTGAGAATCTTTGGGATGTTCTGGAGAAGACTTTACACAGACTCTCATCATCGCTACAAGATCTTGGTGAAGAATTAATACAACTCTGAATGGAAATAAATGTTGTGACATTCCATAAGTTTATCAAAACCATGCCACGGTGAATGTGTGCTGTAGTAATGGTTAAGGGCGGACCAACAAAATATTGGAGTGTGTGAATTTTTTGGCCAGGCAGTGTATATAGAGAGATAAATGGATATACAGTATACATGTGTAACAGTATCATTGTCACAACACTGCCCCCTGGTGGGTGAGCCTTGTCCTCTAGCTTGCTCTCTATGTAACATTGATCTTTCACTCTCTCTGCAGTGTTGCCGTCCTTGATAAAGTTACAGACTTCCTTCTGTTCCTGGGAAAATTGCTGGTAGTCGGCTGTGTTGGTAAGTAGAATGTAAACATCATTATATCTGAAGGCCAAACCCGCTCAGAATCTGTACCGTAGCTCTTTTGTCCATGCTAGGGTGCATTAGCTACAATCTTCTATTTCTCAGGGACTCCACAAGACTTCCTGTCCCTCCATCTCTTTTCACAAGGTCATAGTAATGATGAATTCATTAAGAAATCGGAGAGAGCTCCTCCATGTTGGAAATCAAATTGTGTTTCACTTTAAGTGTTGTGTTGCAGACAAATTGATGTCAGTGACAATTGTGCAACATATTCACATCATCTGGGACGTGCGGTCAGGGGAGGCAGGTGAGGTAGAGCCTCACCAAGAATTATGGAGTCTGAAGCTTTTTCTCCATTCAGATCGGCATGTAACAGGTTACACAGCAGGGAAATCCTCCCCACTGTGTAACCTGTCATGGACGGAGCGCCTCAGCATGAGGAGCGAGTGAGGGGCAGGGAGGCTCCTCCCTGTCTCCTCCTTTACACTAGCTTTGGGACGGGTTGGGGGTGAGGCCTTGTCCACCCGGGGTGGAGCTTCGTCAGACAGTGGCGGGGAATTGGTCGGCGGGACTTTGGGAGACGGGGCTGGGGAATGCCTCACCCGGAGCAAGAGGTACCGCACGTCACTGATTCACATACACCCTTACTGATGGTTATATAAATCTGCTGCAATTTGTGTCAATTGTTTCGCGGACGAGAGCCAGATTTCTAATGCACATCTAACGCTCTTTGGCCCCATTCGCACCAGGGTGTATTGTGGATGTGTCAAACGTCCACACTTCGATGAGCGTTAACGATACGTGCATGAACGCGCTTGCGTTGCCATTTCTAGATAATGGCACCCCAAACGCAGCTAGGCAAATGCAGTTTTTCCCCCACACGTTTGCGCGTAAGGACACGCAAATTTGCTGGAAAAACCGTGGACTGTGTGCCTCCAAATTTGCAACATGTACTTCTTTTCTGCGGTTGGTGCACATCCCAATGGGGATGCGTGCTAAACACGGGTAACAAGGTCCCATGTTCCCACTATGCCCTGGTGTGAATGGGGCCTTAATGGGTTCCAGGGATTGTCTCGTATACTGTGCTCTATAGAAACATGTACCTGTGGACTTCAATGAATCTAATAACATTTACTATGGGGAAAAAATGATATCTAAAAATTAAATTTTATGCTTCAAACATTTTGAGATTTATTCAGTACAACTGCAGCCAAAGTATTGTGTTGATCAGAAATGATCTCTTGCTATGGGATCACCTAGCACACCATTGTTCATAGTCACACAATGGACTAACACACATTGTTTGATGCTCTCAAAAATAAAAAGAATTGTAGAAAAAGAGAACACATAAACATAAAGAGTTCTGGTAATAGCAGAATATGAGAGGCCTTATCAATGAGAGAGGAGAGTCAACAGGAAGCAAAGCCTGCTGATGTAATGAGAAAATACGTCCGCCTCCACATACACCTAGAATCACATATTGTGCATGAAAACTCCACTTCAAACCAGTAATGATCTGTGTCTGCTGGATTTTACTCTCATCAGAACTGCTTCTTTTCTTATAAAAGAATGGGAATACAGAAGCGGGTTAATGCAGGTCGGGGGGAACCTGTCAGTGCATCTTTCAGGCTTGATAAAGAGGGATTCCTCGAAACGCGTAGCCACTGGAGACACCCGACCACCATAGACCTCCACCACCTGAGACCTCCACCGCCCACACCGCTACCGATCCAGACCAACGACGCACGGCGTGCCCTAGCCACGTGTAGCTCCTCCCCATCCTTCCGTCTTTGTCCGACGCGGCTCGGCCCGGCCAGCCGAGTCCGTGGGTGGCCATACGGATGCGCACCTCCAAGTGATCAGCCTGCTACACCACCGGTGACACTCTTGCGATCCTGGACCTTCCAAAGGAGGGCGGCATATAGATCACGGGGGAACCTCGAACTGTAAGTCCCTTTGTCCACTATTAACAGTGTCACGGGATTTTTTCACATACTAAGATCCATCTACTATCTGTACTGCATATACCTATCCACGTCCTTTTGGTAGTCGCGCTCCTGTCCTACTTTGTCCATATCAGTGTTCTCCAATTGATCCCAGGAGCGTCTCCAGCTAATGTCAAATGCAAGCAGAATGTCCCTCAACCCTCCTTGATCGGACCCGAAACGTTAGCACCGTATGATAGTATGTTACATTGGGTATTGAATAAACATATCAATACTTAAAAAACCCTTCAAGTGTGTGCCTGGGAATTACTTTGATTTACTATTAGTGTTTTGCACGGCGCCATCCGTGTGGTTACCTGGGCACCACATATACCTTGTGGTTTTGAGACCGTGGCAGTGCGAATGGGATTTGGACTTTGTTGTGGGCACTGCGTAATGACGCAGCGCCCGGCATCTCATGACGAGGAAGCATGGAGATGGCTTCTTGGCCAATCGGGGAGCCGCGTCATTACACTGCGCCCGGCGTCACATAGTGATGAGAAGCATGGGACGGCTTCCTTGTTAATCGGGAAGCCGGGTGGCGAGTCTTGACACTTACTGTGCACATGCATACATCACAATCACATCCTTTTATAGGTCCGTTTACCTGCGTCCTCTGTTCATCCATTCACCTGCAGTCCAGCTAATGTCTCCTTCCTTTCCTTGCAGGGATCCTTGCCTTCTTTTTCTTCACTCATCGTATCCGGATTGTACAGGACCCGTCTCCCGCTCTTAATTACTACTGGGTGCCCATCTTGGTGAGTGCAGTATGAAAGCTCAACTAGCCAACAGGAAGAATCTGTTTCTGCAGTTTAGGCCGATCGGTAGTCCTGTTTAAATGATGAAACACGGCGATTGCTACAAACTCCAATATGTAATCTGGACGGGACTTGGAATATTCCTTATTTTGTGTGTTTTGTGCTTCATTGCCCAAATCCAGATTCTTAGCCGAGCAGTAACTCTTATCACTGCACAGCCCTATGTTTACCTCATCTCTGTATGGACACACCCCGTATTTCTTTGCTCAGGGGCGCAGCAAGAATATATATTTCTTGTATTATAAAAGGTGAAGTGTCGTGTCTGGCAGTTAATAATGCTCTTCTTCTCTTCTCTCTACAGACAGTGATCATCGGCTCTTATCTGATTGCACACGGTTTCTTCAGTGTGTACGGCATGTGTGTGGACACGCTGTTCTTGTGTTTCTGTAAGTACTTTGGTCTGTGTGATTCTCTTATAAAACGTAGGATGGGTGGATCTGGGAGGACGAGCCCTATATAAGCTTGCAGTCTAACGCTTCCTGTCTACCTATTTCAATTTGGTGAACTCCATGGACAACCCTACCTCAAGTTACTGGAGTCCTCCATGTAGCACATGGAATGGCCCGTTTAGCAGAGAGCTATGAAGTTGGTATCCAGTTGGCTGACTTCAGTCCTTTTTTGGTTCTTCTGGTCACAGGGGGCTTACAGCACACAAGAGTGCGCACACGTCTGCTGAGTGATCCTCCATTGATGTATGTGTGGGTACCTGTGCACAAGCAGGACTGCACATACTTGACCGGAGAAGACCTACCACTATGATTGCATTAGGTGCTACATGGAGAGGCGTAATGAAAGGAATGGGTTGTCTTGGAGTGGGAGAACTTTATCCTGTCCTGTACTAATCATGTTTTCTTTCTTCCATTTTTCCCACTTCTATCTAATCCTAAACCTTCTGTGCTGTGCTCACACACCCAATGTTTCTTCCATTATGGGCCTTCACCCTGCTTGCTGGTCACCATCTCACTGGTCCACCTTGTCTTCTGTCACTCTTGTTGTCTCCTTTCATTGCCCTTCACTTTCATACCTTGCCTTTACTCTGCTTGCTTGTCACCATGTGACTGGTCCACTTTGCCTTCTGTCTCCTCCCTTTTGTCTCCTGCCTTTCCCTTCCCGGCTTGCCTTCTCCCTGCTTGCTGGTCACCATCTCACTGGTCCACTTTGCCTTCTGTCTCCTCTTTTGTCTCCTGCCTTTCCCTTCCTGGCTTGCCTTCCACCCATCCCTTTTCACTGGTCTGCTTTGAACTTTGCAACCCCCGAATTTGCTGGTCTTCTTTCACATGGTCCCATTCTCCTTCACCAACTTCCTTGCTTTCCCCCACAATTCCCTTCTCCTCCTTGCCCTGTCCACATGATTCACCACTCCACCTTGTCTTGTACTCTTCTCTGCACCTTTTTTTCTTTCTCTCTATTTCTCTCTGTGCCAATACTTTGTGATGGGCTGCACACAACAAGGCGAAGACTTGGAGAGGAACGATGGCTCCCTGGAGCGTCCATACTACATGAACCCGGAACTCAGCGAAATTCTGCTCAAAAAAGATGCAGAACTGCTAAAACCCAGCGAGAGCCAAAGCTGATGGGTCAAGGGTGACCTGGTTTGCCCTTCAGTACCGAAACGACTTCTTCTACTTTACCCGGCAGAGTGCTGTGCGATGACAACAGAGCACTTTAAGATGGCCGCACATCCATTGGTGTTGAACAGACTGTGGCCTTATATATGTCTCTTGGAAATGAAGGGTTAATCTCTTGTCTACCTTGCTCCTTGTATATACAAAACACGTTCTATATTTATTCTACTGACACCCAGTGCCTTGTTTTACCTCTTGCATGACCTGCGTTCCTGCTGAACCTAGTGCTCTCTGTATGTCTCTATCAAAGCCTCTTTCTCTACTCTTCTAAGCCTGATTTATGCCACGCTGCTCACGTGTCCCAATTCCCTCCTGCGCAGTGGAAGATCTGGAGCGCAACGACGGCTCGACCGAAAAACCTTTTTTCATGTCCGCCAACCTGCAGAAAGTGCTGAACAAGAAGAACAAAGACCCGACCGACAAATGACCTTCAGAGGCCTATCGCGTCTTGTGATACCTCCCTGACAATCCCTGAATCCAAGGCCAGATGTGTATTGTCCCCTATAGGCCTCCGTCATATCCTAAGCTGTGTCGGGTTGTTGTCCAGATGTCAGTCATTTGTCTGATGGGCGCCAGATAACGAATGACTGAGAGTGACTGGTATCTTCCCCCCAGCTTCAGATTGGTTTTATTGAACATGTTCTTACCTGTATGATACCAAGGATCTGCTTTCAAGGAATCCTATGTGTGTGAAAACTGTCCGGCCTGTTTCACACGGGCGGTCCGATCGGCTCCACCTTTCCGTTTTTCAGATGGACCCGATCGCATGGCCAATATTAGTCTATGGGCAGCTGTGTGTAAACACTGGACCGGATCGTGCCGGATCGGGAGTATTCTCCGATTCCCCATAGACCAGGTGTAGGCAACCTTGGCTCTCCAGCTGTGCTGAAACTACAAATCCCATAAGGCATTGCAAGCCACAGGCATGATTTAGAGGCAGAAGCATGATGGGTATTGTAGTTTCAGCACAGCTGGAGAGCCAAGGTTGCCAACCCCTGCCATAGACCGACATGGGTCTGGTAATTTCTGTTTTTTCCTCCATCGCAAGACTGACACGGATGTTACAGCAGTTACATCTTCTCCATACTGCTCTGATCAGGAGGGAATCCGTGCGTGGATCCCCTCCCGATCAGCCCGTGTGAAAGGGGCCTTGCTGCAAACTTCTGACAGTGCCTGTTGCTTGGCTGTCATGCTGATCCAGTGGCTTCCCTGCTTTCTCAGTCAGTGACATATATGCAGATCAGGAGTTGTGATCTAATTCTGACTGTCTAATCGGCATGCTCGTTCCAGGTCAGGGACTCCATGCTGAGACCAGGGACAGCCAGGCAAGCAGTATTCCTACAAGTTGGCAATGATTGCCTCCATATGTATCCCCGGGCAGTTTTCTTTATCGGGAAAATGCAGCCAAGTCACTGATGGGTTTAAAGAAGTCAAAGACTTACCTTTTGGAGTCGGGCTATCCCGGCATTGTAGGTGTAGGTGCTTGTTTTGTCTAGAGGGCTCAAATAAAACAGATTTACTCACCTAATCCTCGGTCCCGCTGGCTCCCTCATGGATGCTAGACTGGTCCCTGCAGCCTCTTCCCTGAGCTCCGAAGGTCTAAGGACCGCTGACATCAGAACTAATGCAGGTCCAATGATCTGCATTAGATGTGAGGAAGTAGAGGGACTTCCCATAGTCAGAACAAAGTGAGAGAGAGGCGAGCACTGACCCCCGCAGGATGAGGATCAGGGGAGTATATCTTACCTGATCCACATCCTACGTTGGTCAGTGCTCACCTCTCTCCCCCTCCACTCCAGCTGTTGTATGTCCCCTTGAGCCCTCCTAGACAAAACAAGCACTTAACCCTTGCAGTGTGGGATAGCCCCACCGCAAGGGTAAGTCTTTGATCTTCCCAGTGCTCACAAACAGTGCGTTCCGGCCTGATTCGGTGCCAGAACGCACTGGATCGCATCCCGGCCGGCTCCCTGCGTTCTGGGGCGGGAGGGTGTGTATCGACCTTAATGGCACCGCAGCAACACCCCCCGGCCTCCATGTGATCGCCGGCACCCGTCCGTGTGGCACATCAATGCCTGTGTTCCGATGCAGTCAGAAATTTTTTTTTCTGACCGCACCAGACCGGAACGCAGGCATTGATGTGCCACACGGTTGGGTGCGGGCGATCACATGGTGGCCGGGGGGTGTTGCTGCAGTGCCTTTGACTTCAATGCACCGCCACGCACCCTCCCGCAGTGTGAACTAGCCCTAAAGACAAAACCCGTGTCTCCCATGTCAGGATCTTTTGAACGGCCACTTTTAAATATTACGTGTAGATTATAAACGGGGAGTTTTTATAGATTTTGCATCCAATCTCCTTTTCAATGTTTAAAAAGTTCTCGTGATTCCTGCAGGATTGGGGTTTTCATGTCGTCACTGATGCCAAGCGTTCCCTTCTCCTACTGGCGGGAAAGTGTACAGTCAAATAAGACGACAGGCAACGCACGAGAACTTTGATAGCTGCTACGGAGCAGAAACGCATAACAATGATACAACGTTGTGTTCATCTGTCGCAGACTAGCGGCCAGGAGAGGCTTTTGTAGAACGTTTCCGCCTTCCAGTCTTTGTTGGGTACATGGGGAAGATCTGAACTGTAGCAGGTGGCTGCAGTGCTGCGGACTGTTACACACAAAGGGCCATTGTAACCCAAAGGTCAACTACAGGGGCCGAATGATATACAAGATGCACACCAAGGGCCCATTCGTCACTGTCAGCAACAACCAGCTGACTTCAGTGCTACAGACCGGAACGAATGGGCCTTTGGGGTGCATCTTGTAAGGAATGGGACTTTGGGGTGCATCTTGTAAGGAATGGGACTTTGGGGTGCATCTTGTAAGGAATGGGCCTTAAGGAATGGGCCTTTGGGGTGCACCTTGTAAGGAATGGGCCTTTGGGGTGCACCTTGTAAGGAATGGGCCTTTGGGGTGCACCTTGTAAGGAATGGGCCTTTGGGGTGCAACTTGTAAGGGAATGGGCCTTGGGGTGCACCTTGTAAGGAATGGGCCTTTGGGGTGCACCATGTAAGCAATGGGCATTTGGGGTGCACCTTGTAAGGAATGGGCCTTGGGGTGCACCTTGTAAGGAATGGGCCTTTGGGGTGCATCTTGTAAGGAATGGGCCCTTGGGGTGCATCTTGTATATCATTGGCCCCTGTAGTTGACATTTAGGTTACAATATGGCAGATTGTATGGACTCCTAAAACTGGTATGCGCAGGGGGTCCCTTGTGATGTTTTTGGGTTCCTTCTTCTAGGTGAGGTTGATAAATATGTAAAGCTCTCTACATGCAGGTGTCTGTCAGTCTTGGCTTGCACGTAGCGAGCATAGAGAGCGTGTTCTCTCCCCCTCGCTCTATATACATTGGGGGGGGGAATTTATCAAAACTGGAGCAGCTGTGCACGGCAACCAATCAGCTTCTCTCTCTCATTTTGGAATCTTACCTGAACAAAATGAAGAGAGAAGTTGATTGGTTGCCATGCTCAGCTGCTCCAGTTTTGATCAATCCCCTTCAGTATCTATATACGCGCACAGTAGCGCCCCACTTTATTTATCGGCCGTCTATACTTCCGCTTTAGTAGCACTTTTTTTTTTCCCCTCAAGCCCAGAAGTGTTAAAACGGATCTAATGAGTGCTGGCTGTAGCTTTACACTGGCGTTAGCAACGCATCCTGAGCACTGGCTTGTTTAGAGCTACAACCAGATAACATCTGTAACCTGCAGTCCCAGGTTGGAGATAAAGGAAACCTGTTCTTAGATAATTCTATAGGCAGCCATTACTGACCTTCTAAAAATGCTAGTTCCCTGGCCGTCCCTGGCTTTAATACTCACAGCCCACTGACGCAATGCTTGCAGCAAGTGTCGTCTTATCTGGAAACGTGTCCAGATTTCCCTCAACTAAGGTTACTTTTAAGGAAGCCTAAATATGTCTGTGAAGGTTCTCATCCATCCAGGTCGCGTATATCTGTCAAAAAAATAAATCAAGGCCAATGGACTGTATTTTTCTTGAAGATGTTTAGCTGGTCATCTGACCAGCCCTCTCTCTCTAAAGTGAGAAAGCTGGTGGGATGACCAGCAAAACATCTTCAAGAAAAATACAGCAAGTCCAGTTGCCGCGATTTATTTTTTATAGATGAGGTAAAAAAGGTAAAGCTAAGGTAAAAAAAAAAGGTAAAGCTTCTTAAATGGTCTCTTGCCCTGCAGACTAGCTGTTACAAGCCAAGACTGGCAAATGCTTATGTGTTTAGGGTTGTAAAGGACTATCTCTGACCCAATACAAAGTGGAACAAACTGGGGGTTTCAGTGGGAGCTTAGGGGGATGTGTGCAATTACTTTGTGGCCCTGATTCTTCTTGGGCATCTTTAAGTGTGCTTAGGCATGCTAATGTGGCCTGTCGGGCAATACAGTGTGTCATTTTAGCATGCCCTAAGTGACATAGCAGTGTGTTGAATTGGGGCTCATATGTGTGTTCACTTGGTTGTTACAATGTTTTTGTTTTTAGAAAGGTTTAGTTTCACACACGCTATACCAAATGTGTGGGTTCTGGTGTACGGAAGGTTTGGGTCTGGGTCCAACGGGCTTTTGCGTGTCAGTGGAAGTCTATAGCGTTACAAAACCAGTCAGTTCATTCTGAATGATCTCAGAAGCGTCTCAAAACTGATGTCATCGGCACAACCCCCAGTGCCCGCTGACACAGATTCTCACACGTATAAACAGATTCGTATGCTTAGTCACGTATGATGTATCCACCCGCCGTGCTAAACTGGCCTCCCATGATGCAGTGCAATGGAAGCCATCTTTTCTACTAAGGCCTCATTCACACTGGAATCGGCCGGCATGTACAGCTCGGTGCTGCGTGCACGGCCGTATCGGGCAGCTCCCGGGAAGGACCGGTGCTGTGTGTGATTAGTACGCAGCCCCTGTCCTTCTTCTCTATGGGAGTACGCGGCTGTGCGCCACCCTACGCTTACCCACCCCGCACGTCCGCAGGGGTGCGGGTATCTGTACTCGTACGCTGACAGGATGAATCCGATCTGCGTCCGAGCTGGAACACCCGCCCCCGTACGGACCTGCACTTGAGGTGAGCGTAGGGCGCCGTACGGCCATGTAGTGGCATATAGAAGGACAGAGGCTGCGTACTAATCACACACAACGTCTGTCCTTCATAGGGAGCTGCCCGATACGGCTGTGCACGCAGCGCGGAGATGTACGTGCCGGCCTTCTCGTGTGAATGGGGCCTACCTCTTTGACCCCGAGGACCCCCATAGCTTGGCTCCCACCAAGTGCTCAACTCAAATATATATTTATATGTAACTTTAACTGGATTGTCCACTTTCATTGTTTTTTGTTTTTTTATATATATAATAGATGCATGAGACACGCGTGTGTTTTGTATGTATATACCATGTAATACAGTCTGCAATGTTTACTGATACCAAATGTAACGGCAGTTTGTACAAATTCTCCTTCTGAAATGTAACAAGAAGTTCAACAATAAAAAGGTTTTTTATGAGCTCGTTGTACCATTTTTATATGTGTGTGCTGTTACCATGGTAACTAATAGGGCAATTTCTGCTTCATTGGAGGTCAGTCATATGACGGCCTTTACATGAGGCTGATACCGGAGTTCATATTACACCAGGATCTGTCCAAATAAACTGGCCACAGCCAGGCAGCTAGCACCGTCAGGAGGCCAGCGACGGCGGCCCCCTAACTTTCCTCATGACAATCACTTTCAGGCCCCATTCACACTGAGCGATTCGCAAATCACGCGTTTGTCGCGCGATTTGCATTTTGCGCAATATCGCGCAAATGCTTGCATTGAGCAAGCTAAAATCGCGGCAAAATCCGCTCCAAAAAGGGTCCTTCTGTAGCGACGCACGACCCGCGACAGACAGAGCCCCATTGCCATGCATTGGAGAGCAATATCACGCGGTAAATAGCCGCAATATCGCGGGAATTACAGCGCGATAAATCGCTCAGTGTGAACGGGGCCTAAGGGGTTCTTTCCAGCAGCCCGCGCCTCTACCGCAATATCTCGTGCCCGGAACACAAGGGATCGCATACATAAAGTCTCCTTGCATTCTGGGGCGGAACAGTGCCATTCAAGTCAATGGCTCTGCAGACACGCCCCCTGCCCGCAGTGCGATTGGCTGCACAGGAACGCGTGGTAAAGCCGCCCCCCCCGCACTGCAAGGGTTAACAGCTTGTTTTTCACAGGGGAGTGACACCAAGATGACTGTCAGTCATTTTGGTGGCACCCCTCCAGTGACGCCACTGCCTGTATGTATGTATGTGAAATGAGGACCTGAGATTGTAAGCTCCTTGAGGGCCCAGCCACACCATCAAGAATGCGTTCGGCCTTTGGAACACAACCCGGCCGGCTCTCTTTGTTTTGGGGCGGGAGGGGGCATGGCGGTGCATCAAACTCAATGGCACCGCAGCCCCACCCGCAGTGCAATCGTTGGCACCTGGACGCGTGACACATTAGTGCCTGTGTTCCGGTCCAGTGCGATCTGCACAAAATGCTGCATGGACTGTTTCTGCAGATCACACTGGACCGGAACACAGGCACTAATGTGTCACGCGTCCAGGTGCCAACGATTGCACTGCGGGTGGGGCTGCGGTGCCATTGAGTTTGATGCACCGCCATGCCCCCTCCCGCCCCAAAACAAAGTAAGGCAGCCGGGTTGCGTTCCAAAGGCCAAACGCACTGGAACGCACTCTTGATGGTGTGACGGGGCCCTGAGGGCAGAGACTGATGTGAATGTGCAGCGCTGAGTAAAGAGTTTCCGGAGCCGCGCGATCGCACGAACGGTCCTCATAGGAATGTGCGGGGTTGTTCATGTCGGCGGTTCAGCGAACCGAACCGCCCTGCTGTGAACTGGGCCTTAAAAGTATCTGTGCTGGGAGACGTTACATTGGTGGGTCACGTTCCTTTATTTGCAGGGGAAGAACAATGGAGGGAAGTTACTAAAACTGGAGCAGGCAGGATAATCTGGAGCAGTCTCCCATTGCAACCAATCAGCTTCTAGCTTTCATTTTCAAATCTTAATTGAACAAACCTGAAGATAGAAGTTAATTGGTTGCTATAGGCAACTGCTCCAGATTTTGTCTGCAAGCAGCCATATTTGTTGTGCGTTGTCAGCGATGTGCGGGGGTGCAGGTATTGTACCAGTAGCAGCGTGTCTGTGTTCTTTATCTACACTCATAAACCGCACTTCCCGCTGTGATGTCATAGCTGCCAGGAAACATCTCGCTGGTTTCTCGTGTAACCCGGTCACATGACCGACTGGCAGCCAGATGTGCCTGTGAGACCGCGATGTCCCCCGACCTCCTGCTGGTGACGCAATGCGGCCTGCACTGGTGTCCTGTACACACACATCCTGTACAGAGCCAACCCCCCCCCCTGCCGGCTCTGATGTCACCTCTCTCCTACAATTCCCCCCTCTGCCCGGGGACACTTCGAAATCCAACATATTCTGACCCAAGGGGTAAGGGTAACCCTGGCCCTCCAGTTGTTGTGGAACTACAAGTCCCATGAGGCATTGCAAGACTCTTGACAGCCACAGGTATGACTCAGAGGTAGGAGCCTGATGGGATTTGTAGTGTCACCACAGCTAGAGTGCCGAGGTTGCCTACCCGTTGTTCCGACGTATCAACATCAGACTGTTTGCATTCGGGGTATACATGTGTACACATTCACCAAAGTGCCAGCACATGTGGTATGTTCTTCGGTCCTGCGGCGGTCAGCACTCACCTCTCCCTCCCCCGCCACTATCTGGGAGAGAAGAGGCTGCGGGGACCTGTGATGCAGCCTGGAGGGACCGAGGATCAGGTAGGCATGCAGCACACGGCAGCGGCGTTACAGATGCACAGACAGATGTTTCGTGTTCCGGGTCTCACATGTGCTGCATCCAGAGATCGGCGCACACCCGGGTACAACGTGCGGCTAGGGTTGCCACCTGCCCAGAAATCACCAGACAGTCCGGGTTTTAAATGCTGTGTCCACGTTTCATGGCAGCAGAAACCCGGGCACAAGAGGTCAGGCAGACGGGGCAACCAAAATTAGGATAGGGGCTACTGGCCCCCCACTGAAAATAGTCTCAACTTTGATATTTACATACGAATGGGGCGGCGCTATTTACACATGAATTAGCCATGCCTCATTCTCCCCAAAAAAATGTCCGCGCGTCGCTAGAGTGTTCGGGTTTCACTTGAAGATAAGGTGGCAACCCTATGTACGGCGTCCATACAATCCTACGGGCCGTTCTATGCCCCTCTATCTGCAGGAATGAGCATCTCTGGGCCTCCAGCTGTGCATTCACTACAAATCCCAGCATGCTCTTGCCTCTGGGAGTCATGCCTTAACTGTCAGGGTCTTGCAATGCCTCATGGGACTTGTAGTTTCACCACAGCTGGAGGGCCAGAGTTGCCCACCCCGATCTCTAGACTTGATCCAGGACAGGCAGCCAAGCGACAGGCATTTTCAGAGAAGCTCCGCCATGGCCGCCCCCGTCACCTTTACAGGAGGAATGTGCCAGAGAAAGCAGAAAAACCAGAAGTGTCACACTGACCCCGCCCCCTCTCCCGGGTGTCACAATCCAGGGCACAGGAGGGAGGAGGGGAAGGGGGCGGCGCCCTCCGGGTCTACCTGGCTGTACCTGGGCTGCTGACGTCACACAGGTGCAGGAAGGCGGAAGAGGAGGCAGAGCTCAGCCCGTACAGCGCCGGGACACCAACTAACTTCCTGCCAGGCACCCGGTCCTCCGCACTGACAGTCCGCTCACCCCGGCACCATGTCCGCCTCCGCCGTGTTCTTCTTGGATCTGAAGGGGAAGGTGAGTGCCAACTGAGGGCTGGGGGGAGGGGCCTACTTCACTACAACTACCACACCCATCATCCCCTACAGGAGCATGCTGGGTGAGATCAGAAACGGACCTTTGTAGTGTATGGAAACATAAAGGGGGATTTATCAAAACTGCAGCAGTTGCCAATGACAACCAATCAGCTTCTGTCTTTCACTTCCAAAACTTAAATGAAGAGAGGAGCTGATTGGTTGCCATGGGTGACGGCTCCAGATTCTGTCTGCTCCAGTATTGTTAAATTCCCCCCAATGTATCTCTATGTAGAGCAGCTGGATGTGTCCTTGTTACATGTGTGCACAGCCCTCCAGCTAACTACAAATCCCATCATGCCTCTGGGAGTCATGCCTGTGGCTGTCAGTCTTCCAATGCCTCCTGGGACTTGTAGTTCCACAACAGCTGGAGGGATGTACAGTGTGACACAGGAAGTGGCGGAAGCAGTGTACAGTGTGACACAGGAAGTGGTGGAAGCATGTCAGTGACGGGTGACACCGTGCAGGGGAAGCTAATCAAAATGTAACACAAATTAGACTCTAAAGGCCGTGACACGCTGCACGCGAAGCCGTGCAGAGCGAAGCTAAGCTGTGCGGCACGGAGCTTTGCGTGCAGTGTGTGAGCTGAGTGCAGGCAGATGATTGACTGCACCTTCAGCCAATCGGCTCGTGCTTAACAACCGGCCAGACGTCGCATCCCGTCACGCCGGTTTATACGCGCGAGCCAATTGGCTGAAGTTGAAATTGTTCATCTCGGCACGCTCAGCTCCGCGAGCTCTCGCCATCTGAGGTGCCCAGGAGAAAATTACATGACACACTGCTCGCAAACGCAGCGCGCCACCGCTCCGCTTCGCCTGCAGTGTGTCACGGCCTTAAGGGCCCCGTCACACCGTCAAGAGTGCGTTCGGCCCCTGGAACGCAATCCGTCCGGCTCACTTTGTTTTGGGGCGGGAGGGGGCGTGGCTGTGCATTGAAGTCAATGGCACCGTAGGCACGCCCCCCTCTCGCTGTGCGATCGCCGGCACCCGAACGTGTGGCGCATTAGTGTCTGCGTTTCGGTCCAGTGTGAGCTGCATGCGCTATTTCTGCAGATCGCACTGGACCGAAACGCAGACAGTAATGTGACGGCGATCGCACTGCAGGCAGGGGCGTGGCTACGGTAACATTGAGTTCAATGCACAGCCACGCCCCCTCCCGCCCCAAAACAAAGTGAGCCGGACGGGTTGCGTTCCAGGGGCCAAACGCACTCTTGACGGTGTGACTGGGCGCTAAAAGCCTGTGACACACCTTTTATGCGGAGCAAAACTGCGAGGCGTGGACGTTCGCTTGCGGCGCGTGAGAGCGGCCCGACGTAAGACCGTATTCTTAGCCAATCAGCTCGCGCGTTGCAACCCCATGGACTTTGCATCTCGATGCGCGGGCTGATTGGCTGAAGATGAGCTTTTTGATCTCGGCACGCTCGGCAATGCGCGCTCTCACAAGCTGACCTGCCGGAGTGAGAATGACATGATGCACGCGACGGTCCGGGCGCCGCCGCTCCGCGCTGCTTTGCTTGCAGTGAGTCACAAGCTGTAGGGCTTGCTCACACTTTGGTGTTGCAAATGTGCGTCATGTGTGCACATTGGTGTGTGTTCACACAGCACGCCACAAACCTGCGTCCTGCTTGCGGTGCCATTGCTTACTATGATGATGGGAGTGGTAGTCTTAGGAGTCCCATTACTTGCTATGATGATGGGAGTGGTAGTCTTAGGAGGCCCATTGCTTGCTATGATGATGGGAGTGGTAGTCTTAGGAGGCCCATTGCTTGCTATGATGATGGGAGTGGTAGTCTTAGGAGGCCCATTGCTTGCTATGATGATGGGAGTGGTAGTCTTAGGAGGCCCATTGCTTGCTATGATGATGGGAGTGGTAGTCTTAGGAGGCCCATTGCTTGCTATGATGATGGGAGTGGTAGTCTTAGGAGGCCCATTACTTGCTAATGGCACTCCAAGCACGCCTGGGAAAACGCTTGTTTTTTGCTAGTGCGCGTGGACGCGCCTCAAACGTGAGAAAACGCAGGTAGCTCGCAGCTGAAAATGCGGTATCCCATTGAAATGAATTGGCTGATGCGCAGCAACTGCAGCAAAACCGCGCTCATGGATCGCCAACTTTAACGCCGCGCCATCAGCAGACCATTCATACGGACAACGATCTTCCCGTAAGATGATATGAGCATTTAACGTGTCTGATGCATCCTGTAGGCTTCCGAAAGCTCCGAGACTGCCGCTGCGTGTCGCCATCTTGGATGTGATGCCCCAAAACGGTCACTTCTACAGCAGGGGTAGGCGACCTTGGCCCTCCAGCTGTGCCGTAGCTACAAATCCCATCATGCCTCGGGCTCTGGGAGTCTTGCAATGCCTCATGCCCCCATTCACATATCGACGTATCATAACCGAAAAGTGCGTGCTTGGACGCACGCTCAGGAAACGCGGAACTCGCTGGCAGTGCCATGACTAGTAATGGCTCCCCGAATGTGGGCGAGGAAACAAGCTTTCTTCCCGGGTGGTAGAACGTGCACGGAACGCACATCACAATATCTGCTTCCTGCATTTGGCGCATGTTCGCCACCCATAGTAATCTATAGGGAGGCGGGCCCAATGTGGGAAGCAAACGCGCCTCACTGATGCACCCGTATGTGGATGGGGGCTCATGGGATTTGTAGTTGCACCACAGCTGGGGAGGGGCAAAGGTTGCCCACCCCTGACCTATAGTGTTCTCCTTCACTCGGCAGCAGAGTAGGGATCCACCCAAATCAAAATCTGCGTCCCAAACCTACAAATCTGTCAAACCGAAAATGCCCGACCGGCCTTCATCCCGGCCCCTAGACAGGAACAAGCGGTTAACCCTCGCAGTGCCGTCTCGGAGTTCTTCTTAACCCACCCTCACTTATCCACAATGCGGAGAAATCATTATAGATCCGATATTCTCTCCCCGCCCTGTAATAAAACCCCACTGGTCTTGTCTCCGCCCCCTCCAGTAATAAAGACCGCTCACTGCTGCTCCCTCTCCTTGTGCAGGGTGACTGGTCTTGTCTCTGCCCCCTCCTGCAGTTTTCTAGTGGGCGGAGCCTGCCGGGTCCCTCCCACAGCTCTGCTCTCTGCACAGGCTATGCACAGCACAGTGATGATGTCACAGCTACTTGTACAAGGTAATATCTGGGTTTGCAAGGCACTTAGTACACAAAGGGAATATATTGCAATGGAAGTGTTTGTTTCGGGACTCCAGGTTCAGAGGGACCTCTTCCGGTTTGTTGCCGGACGCTGTAAAAGGCAGATTGTGTCACTTTGTGGTCAGTCAGTTTCCGTGTAAAATCCACAAAGCTTAAAGGGGCAGAACCAGTATGAGAATCTGGAGTGTGGCCAGGAGATGGTTAATGGAGCGTAACCCAATAGAACTTCTCTGTGTGACCTCATCCTGTGACACAGTTCCCTTCAGTTATAGGCCGAGTCTGGAGCCTTGACTCTCTGGCTCCTTCTACGTCTGGAGAACTTCAGCGGTTAGAGCTGGGGTGGGCAACTCCAGCTTTGCTTCAACTACAACTCCCATCACGCCTCTGCCAGTTTTATAGCCAGTAATTAATTGCAAATCATTTCTCCAAATTAAAATGTAAAAATATCTAAATCCGAGTTCCCAGATCTGCCAACAAGCCACGACCTTCATGTATGGAGATGGCGTCCCTCCGCCTGCAGGACTGGAAAACGCAGCACGAGGACAGACACTCCCGTACTTGGCTTGGTATTCCCACAGCCACAACTCTGGTAACATCTAAGACCCCGTTCACATTGAGCGATTTATCGCGCGGTAATTCCCGTGATATCGCGGCAAATTACCGTGCGATATCGCGCTCCAATGCAATCCAATGGGGCAAAGGGTCCTGCTGTCGCGGGTCGTGTGTCGCTACAGCAGGACCCTTTTTGGAGCGGATTTAGCCGCGATTCAAGCTTGCTCCATGCAAGCTTGAACGAGACATCGCGCGGCAAATCTCGCAATGTCGCGCAATATGCAAATCGCGCAACAAACGCGCGATTTCCATATCGCGCAGTGGGAACGGGGCCTAAACCAGCGGTTCTCAACCCGTGTAACCTCAGGACCCACATTTGTCCTTGGTCAGTAAGCCATGACCCATTGCGGTACCGCGCATTCCGGTGCGGGCGATCAAACTGCGGGCAGGAGGTGGGTTTGGGGTGAATGACAATGCAGCACAACTCCCTCACCAGAATTTGCGGTAGGTGCGATTTTGCACAGCACAACGTGGTAATCGCATGGGACTGTGCAATTAACACTCTCTGTACTGGTGTGAACGGACCCTCAGAAACACTGAGAGACACACACAACCACAAACACAATCTCACACACTCAGGCATTCACACACACACACACACACACACACACATACACACTCCCAAAAAAAGATCCACCCCGTATCCCTATCTTATGAAGAACTGGGTTAGATCCTCGGGTCCAGTGGGGGCTGCTGTGCTGTGATGGAGCTCCGTCCATATTGCCATGGTCCCCCAGAAGAGCAGGGGACCTCGAAAACCTCAGGGGACACTGATGGGCATTATATGGGCTTGGACAACATAATGTCCATCAGCGTCCCTAGTCATTGCAGAAGGAGGGGGAGGGGCTCTGTTGCAAGTAGAATCCCCCCTCCCCCCAGCTTTTGCACTGACAGGTGATATTATGTATTGCAAGCCTAGTCTGTTGTAGTAACATTCGTTTTTTGTTTTATTACCATTACAAATGCTAATCCAGCTAACTACCGTGTTTCCCGAAAATAAGACACTGTCTTATATTTTTTTTGGCTCAAAAAAACACACCAGGTCTTATTTTCGGGGGAGGTCTTATTCTTTTTTTTATGTATAACAATCCAAAGTTAATGCAAATCCAAATGAAATAATCCAAAATGGCAAAGTGAAGAATAGGGTGATCAGGGCAATCAGGGGCGCCGTACCTTTCCAAGAGCAATTTGGTAACCAGAATGAGCGAAGCGCACTTTCACTATGGATTCCTCACAGGCGGAGTGTATTTGGTATCACTCCGCCTGTGACAGGAGCCGGCGCTATAGAGGAGGCATCGGCTTATGCAGCTCTGCTCCCTGCGCTACCTCGCTTCCTCTAGCGCTGGCACGGCTGATTCTCTCCCGTGGCTCTTCAAGTTCCCCCTTATGCCACCACCGGCCCTGAGAATGGCCACAACTAGGTCTCATTTTCAGGGTAGGTCTTAAATGTTAGCTATTCCCAAAAATAGCACTAGGTCTTATTTTCGGGGTAGGTCTTATTCTCAGGGAAACAGGGTGTACACTTCCCCCTGCCTGCCTACCTTTCTCAGCTTCCAGGCAGACTGAAGTACCAGTCCTAATTGATATCAATCTGCCGGGCTGAGGTGGCTTGATATCTGCTGCACTCTGTACTCCAGGCCGGGACTTTAACTTTCTTGTCGGGACTTGCAGCTCTTGATATCATTCCGCCGGCCGAAAGTGAGAAAATAGTCCCGTCTCTTCCCGGGCCCTATTACTTCAGCGGGGAGATGGGGGACAGTTTCAAAACACAGAGTTCCCTTGGGCTGACAAAAAATCCCCCCCTCTATGTCTCCCTACTGAAGATGGGCTGCTCCATGCAGGAAGGGCGCCGCGACCCACTGCAGAAGGGCTCGCAACCCACTTTTGGGTCGCGACCCATGAGTTGAGAACCAGGGATGGCCCCTCCAGCTGCTGTGGAACTACAAGTCCCATGAGGCATTGCAAGACTGACGGTTACAGGCATGACTCCCAGAGGCAGAGGGATGTTGGGATTTGTAGTTAAAGCTCAGATGGAGTTGCCTACCCCTGGTGTAGACTATAATTCCATTATGTGTGTATACAGCTACCATCTGGTCATGCTAACCCAGTCTTGTCTTCTGCAGCCCCTCATCTCCCGGAATTACAAAGGTGACCTTAATATGACGGAGATCGATCACTTCATGCCATTGGTGGTCCAGAGAGAAGAAGAAGGGAACCTGACGCCGCTTCTCATTCACGGCAAAGTCCACTTCCTGTGGATCAAACACAGCAACCTGTATTGTATCCTTCCTCACCGTGAAACTAGTGCCTGGCTTCTCTTCTAGGGCTGCAACAACTAATCGATAATGAGAAAAGTTGGCAACTATTCTCATTATCGATTAGTTGGTTGCAGCACTACTTAACAATGGGTTGCTATTGTTGGGGGGGGGGGGGGGGGGGGGTTTTTTTTTTTTTTTTTTTTTTTAATACAACTAATCGATTATGAAAATAGTTGTTAGCTGCAGCCCTATAAATCTCTTCATTATGTCCAATCAGTCTACATCGGTCACATCAAAGTCATAGGGGGGGATTTATCATGATTGGAACAGACCAAATCTGGAGCATATTTGCACTGCAGCCAATCAGCATCTCTCTCTCTTTTTCAAATCTATATGCTGCTCCAGATTCTGTTTGCGACAGTGCTAATAAATACCCTCCAGTGTGTCGGTTTGCATGCTGCCTTCTAGAGCTGCAACAGTTAATCGATTTAGTCGATTAAAATCGTCATGTCTGATGAAGGGACCTTAAGTGGCCCTGAAATGTTGCAATGTGACCAGATGTGTGTGCACCAATAAAATGATCACTGCTTGGTTGCACGCGTCCATAGACTTAGCTTGTGTCTCTCCTCATCTCCCGGCCGAAAATCCGAACTGCGCATGCGCCCGCCCCAAGATGCTTTGCGGCCGCCCGAGCAGTTTCGGCTTTTCGGACGGGAGCACGCGGCAAAGACGGGGTAAGTTTAAACCGCTTTTAAAGCGTTTTTTATTTTTTTTTACTTTTTGCATATATTTACTGCTTGCCTGCTGTAGATATATGCAAAAAAACGAGGGTTTAGAAACCCTTTAAATACTACCAGCAACATTGAACGGTGGTCCACATGATATACTTTTTCCCCTTAACACTTGACTTTCTCAGTGGTCGCTTTAACAAATAAGAATGCGAATGCCTCCCTTGTGTACTCCTTCCTTTACAAGGTGGTAGAGGTAAGTTCTCTGACATGATGATGACACAAAGGTTGGGTATGGAGATAGGACGCTTGCCATGCACATGTACTTTAGAATGGATTCTCTGCTAGGGTATAAGGGACTTTCCACTTCCAACAAAACCCGGAATGTAGCAGCATAGTGGGAGTAACACTGGTTATGGAAGGGGGCCGACGTGGACATCTGGGAATTATCTGTAAAGTGGAACTCCAGGCCGGTGTAAAATATAACCATGCGATGGGTCCCCCTAAGTTTGTAGTTTCCGCACAGCTGGAGTGCCAAGGTTGCCTACCCCTGGGCTAGAGATGTATTTGTATACGGAGTTTATAGGTGTTTCATAGTTACATAGTATTTGAGGTTGAATAAAGACATTAGTCCATCAAGTCCAACCTATTAGGATCTCATTCTAGGAGTACCCGTACCCCTGTATATTACGGTCCCTTAAGAAATCGTCCAAAAGTTTCTTGAACAATTCCACATTCTTTGCTGAAATCACTGTCTGTGGCAGTGAGTTCCAGACCCTAACTGATCTTACTGTGAAGAACCCCCTTCGCCCCTTGTGCTGGAATTTTTTTTCCACCAATTTTAGGTTTCCTGCATCGATATGTAATCATTATGGGCCTTGTTTATAGAAGTGCCTGAAGCAGCAAATGTTTGTGGTGCCCAGAATGTCCAGTGTAGACTGGAAGTAAGAGAAAAGGGGTTTACGAAGGGCATCTTAGGCTGGGTGGTGGGTGGAACACTCCTATTGGCACCTCTAGGAACTCGGACTAGTATTTTGTATACCCCTTGCCCATGTCTATGACTTCTTTGCCACATCCAGGTTTTCACAGAGTACTTCAAGGAGCTGGAAGAGGAGAGCATTCGGGACAACTTTGTCATTGTTTACGAACTGCTAGATGAGCTCATGGACTTTGGCTTCCCACAGACCACCGACAGCAAGATTCTACAGGAGTAAGTTGTATGGCATTACAGTGTTGGGTGGGCACCGCCTGGCCGGTTCTTGTGTCTTCTGGAGACAACAGTGGTCAGATTCTGGTGCCCCATCTCAGAGGCCACAACTACGTTGTATCTCTTGAGGCTGAAATTCCCTGGGAGTTATCATATGTTCTGGAGCAGTGGTTCTCACCCCATGTAACCTCAGGACCCACCTTTGTCCTCGGTCATTCGATTGCGACTCATTGCGGTACCACGTGTTCTGGTGCGGGCATTTGAACTGTGGGCGGGAGGTACTTTTTTGGTGCCATTTTAAATGAATGACAACACAATGCACTTCCCACACCAGAGTGAGTAGTAGGCGCAATTTCATGGTACAGTGCGCAGGACTGTTCTATTAACGCACTGTACTAGTGTGGGCCCTCAAAAACACTGACAGGCACACACAACCACAGACACAATCTCACACAACAATACACACTGCCCAAAATTTTTGTTTTTTTAAGATCCACCCAGTGTTCCTACCTTACGAGAACTGGAGTGGATCTTCAGCCTGGGGTCCAGTGTGGGCTGCTGTGCTGCGATGGAGCTCCATCCATATGTGCATTGTTTGTACAACTCCCTTGTGCACCCTGTAGAGGTGCCGGGAGCCAGAATGTGACACCACTCTTGTCCAGGCTCCTCTAGTGGACATGTGAGGGAGCTGTAAGCAATGCATGTATAGATGGAGCTCCATCATGGCCATAGCCCCTCCCAGCCCACCTTAAGCTGGCACTCTGCGCCGAGTAGCATATGAATGGCTGCTTGGTGCGAGAACTGACCGTGCTGCGCTAGAGGGAGGCTGCAAAGCCTCTCACCTAGAAAAATGGAAGGCATGCGACCACCCACTGAATACAGGGTCGCGACCCACTTTTGGGTCACGACCCACCAGTTGAGAACCAAGGTTCTAGAGAGCCTATCCACCCAGTGTGTTGCTATGGTTTGGCTTGTGGCATTCTCTCTACTGGAGTCCCAGAGATCTACAAGAAGCCAATATTCCATTCAGATTGCCAACAGTTCATGATCTCCTTTCTGTCTGATACAGGTACATCACACAGCAAGGGAACAAGCTGGAGACAGCCAAGTCTCGTGTGCCCACCACCGTCACAAATGCCGTGTCTTGGAGGTCTGAGGGTCTCAAGTACAAGAAGAATGAGGTCTTCATAGATGTCATTGAGTCTGTCAACCTGCTTGTAAGTGGCTGTTGTATAAAATCCATTGTCTTTCCCAAGTTGCTTTTCGGGTGACTGTTCTGTGGATGTGTTTGACCCTCTTTACACTGTGTGTGTGTTTGTTTGTTTGTTTTGTTTTGTTTTTGCAGCAGGTCTTTAATTTCCTGTTTTTGGATAATATGACTCCCCTATTTGATCTTACAAATATTGTCTCCCTTCATCCTTACTGATGCTGATACATTTCTCTGATTATTTTATTGTTACCCGATTCATTGCTGTTACCTGATGATGAGTTTTACATCAAAATTCACTTTTATGGCTGGCTGGATTTGGGAAAAAAACAAAACTTAGCAATTCACAATGGCGGGCATTCCTTCAAGACTGCGCAGCACTCATGTAATGACATGTGAATGCCGTCATTAGGGCCCGGGGTACACTGAAAAGAAAGTGGGAGGAGGATAACACTCAGCAATAGTAACCCCCAGTATTTGTGGTCAGTGGGAATGAAAACAAACTCAACATCATTGTTGTGTGACGGTGGCAAGCGGATATTGTAAAAAAGTAAGAAGCCGTAAACCCCCTAGCATTGGTGATCAGTGGCAAGCAGGAAATTGTAAACCCCCCCAGTATGGAGATCATTGGCAGGCAGTAACAATACCCCTCCCAAGCATTGGTGGTCAGTGGCCAGCATGGTTCCTTCTTCAGGCTGGTTCCGAAACGTTGCTGTAAAATGCTACACTATTTCTAGTCCATAAACAAGATTCATTGGAGTGCGAGTGACTTCCTTGTTGGACTTGTGTTTTGCGGAGACATCTGCTGTCACTGCCACACCCGCCCTGTTTTACCTGGACTTCCATCCGGTCAGGAGTGCGATGGGATACAGGTTTTTTCAAGACGGTAATAGTAAACCCCCCAGCATTGGTGGTCAGTGGCAGGCGGTAATGGTAAACCCCCCAGCATTGGTGGTCAGTGGCAGGTGGTTATAGTAAACCCCCAGCATTGGTGGTCAGTGGCAGGCGGTAATGGTAAACCCCCCAGCATTGGTGGTCAGTGGCAGGCGGTAATGGTAAACCCCCCAGCATTGGTGGTCAGTGGCAGGCGGTAATGGTAAACCCCCCAGCATTGGTGGTCAGTGGCA